GAAAATTTGGAAGCAAAAAATTGAGGGTGAATTAGTCAGCACACATTTAATCCAGAGGGAGGATTTTAGAACATTGACATTAGGGAGGATAATATTTTGATATGTGATTTACTTTCTGGTCTACAAGCTGAATCCTAAATGCCCTAACCTTTTTAGAACTACTTAAAATCATTCTGGCAAAGGATGGGAAATCAGTTATGATTTGAATTGTGAAAACACTGTATGTTTTGTTATTTTATTTTTTGAGACAGGGTCTCACCATGTAGCCCTGGCTGGCCTGGAGCTCACTATGTAGACCATCCTGGCCTCAAACGTGCAGAGATCCCCTGCCTCTGTCTCCAGAGTGCTGGGATTAAAGATGTGTTCCACCATGCCCAGCCCTGTTTGTTTTGGGGCAGTATGGGCATGTTATTGCTGTTTTTCAGGAAGTACCATCTGACCCTTCTCTTATCCTTCCCAAAACTTTTTTTAAAAATTGAAGAAAACTTGGTAAAACTAATTTTTAAATTGTATAATGATTAGACTATCTACTCATTGAAAGATAGAGCTCGGTATGATGCTATACCTGTATTCTCAGCACTTGGGAGGGTGAGAAAGGATGATTGTGGGTTTGAGGTCAGTCTGGGCTACCTGGCAAATTTCAGGAGAGCCTCAGTTACATGGACAGACACTGTCTCCAAAGGGAAAAAAGTGGAATATTCAGGCTTTTTTTTTTTTTTCCAAGTATTTAACTTACTATTGCCCTTAAAAAGCTGCCGGACCATTCTGAGTACCTCTAAGCACCATCCCTGGAAGAAGAAAAGGAGACCTTATAATTTACCTTGTTAACTAAATTTCCGTGTAACTAACTGATAATTTTAAGTGCAAAACTATACGTAATATAATCTCATTTTCTTTAAAAAGTAGTGTTTTATAGGATGAGCATGCTGGTGGTGTAATCCTTTAATTCCAGTACTCCTGAGGCAGAGGCAGGTGAGTTCAACATCAGTCTGGTCTACATAGACAGTTTCAGGCCAGCCAGAGAGCTACATGGTGAGGCCCTGTGTCACACAAACAAGCAAACAAAAAACCTCCCAAAAATAATGTGTAGTACCTATGTGCAAAAAGGAATCTGAACTGATGTTTGTCAAACTGTTAACTGCAGTCAACTTAATTAGAAGAGGAAGAGCAAGCAGTAAGTACTGGGAACCTTCCAAGAGTCTGTTCAATCTGCTATTTTTTTTTTTTTTTTTTTTTTTTTTTTTTTTTTCTTTTTGTTTTGTTTTGTTTTGAAACAGGTCTCTGTAGCCCAACTGGCCTGGACCTTGATCTGTATAGACAGGCTGGCCTTGATTTCACAGAGATCCACCTGCCTCTGCCTCCAGAGCACTGACATTAAAGGTGGTATATGCCACCATTCTCAATTCTGAACTGACTTCTCTCAAAGATTTTGTTGTTTTGTATTGTTTTGTTTTGTTCTTCTCTATGCTAGGATCAAAGGTATGGGCTGTGACTCCTGGCAGATTTTTTCCCTTAGTGCTTGGGAGGATTGAATCTAGGGTCTGTAGAGTACTAGGCAAGCACTCTACCAGTAAGCTATACTCCCAACTCAATTTCAACACTTAATATGGATTGGATTTCAATAAGATATGATTTGCCCAAGCACATAGTCGGTGAACATTAAACAAGAGTGCTGCCTTTTTGTAAAATGTGTGAAAAACAGCAAGTAGAAGATCCCACCTATGTGGGCTGAGAACTTAGCTCAGTGGCAGAGAACTTACCAGTATGTGTCAGTACATATATTCATTGTAATTGTCTTCCTTCAACCAGCAGTGGTATTAAAAGCTGTTCTAGTGAGTTAATAATGGAACTTTCTCTGTAAGCATTTATTAAGAATTCTTTTAACTGTGGCTCTACTCCTGAGAACTTAGGAAATATGTTAAAAATATTTACTTGCTTTTTAAAAACAACTTTTTTGAAGTTTTGTTGTTTGTTTTCTGAGACAGGGTCTTAAAAGTCCAGGCTGGCCTCAAACCCAGAATGTATATAACCCAGCATGACCTTGAATTTGTGATACTCCTGTCTTTTTCACTGGGTGCTAGGATTTATAGCATTTATGTTTAGTCATGAGTACCATTTTAGGCATCTTCTGCATCACAATATCTACTAGGATGAATTCTCCTTTTCCAAATAAAGACCTAAGGGATAACATAGACAATACTGACCTTATGTAATATTATTGTATTGTGTAGTAAACAAGTAAATAAACCTTGTTCCTTTTTAAAAATATTTTATTTATTATTTTGATTTTATGTGTATGGGTATATTGCCTGCATGTACGTGAGTGCACCCATGTCGTGCAGTGCCGCGGAGGTCAGAAGAGGGCTTCGGATTCCCCTGGAAACTGGAGTTAAGGACAGTTGGTAGCTGCCATGTGGGTGCTGGGAATGGAACCCAGGTCCTCTGCAAGAGCAGTCAGTGCTCTTAACTGCTGAGCCATCTCTCTAGTCCCATCATTCTTTTTTTTTTAGATTTACATTACTTTTATTTATGTCTATCTTTGTGGGTGTGCACACATGTGGGTGCTTGTAGAGACCAGAATAGGGTGTTGGATCCCTTGGAGCTAGAGTTATAGGCAGCTCTTGAGTTGCTTGATGTAGGTGCCAGGAGCCAAACTCTGGTCCTTTGTAAAAGAGCAGTAGGTGCTCTTAACTGCTAAACCATCTCTCCTTGAGCCTCATTCTTCCTGTTGGGAATTCCTAAGCAATGTGCTGAATTGCCTAAATAAATAGAGATCTAATCCAAGGGCCTCCTGCATGCTAGGCAAGAGCTCTACCACTGAGCGAAACACTAACCCAGTATTTTCTTGGTTCATGTTTAGGTACTGTATTTGCCCAGAGATTTACTGGATGGTCTCTAACCTTGTATCTTTCACAAAAAAATAGAGGGTTTTGCTATTTTCCTTGTTAGTCTAGTGAATATTTATTTGAATAATCTGTGTTTGGTAGTAGTTCTTCATTCCCAACTGTGTTCAAATTTGTCCTTTAAATATATGTACACATACATATTGGGGTGGGGGTGGCTGGAGATTGAACAAAGGATCTTGCACTCTACCTCTGAGCTTATACCTCCTAGTCGCCTTTTAAATATTTATAATGCACATGGAGAACTCAGGTAACCTGACTTGGTAATATTATGTGCACATGAGAACCTTGAGGTATGAAAGCCTCAGACTTTAATTTTGTGGTTTTATATTTCAATATTTTTGTCTTTGTTTATTTCAAACTTCACAACTCAGTTATAGGATGGTAGATAGTTTAATGAGATATGTGTGTGGTTTGTGAGGTAAATTCAAGTAATGGAATCCTTTGGAAGATTTAGATTCTTTATTTCTGACTCTCATTTGTAAATCTACATGTTGAAATTTTTTTTGCTTGTTACAGACTAATGATAATAGTTAAAGAATATTCTTATTTTGATTGGAAAAATGGCTTGAAAACCAGCATAAATTAAAAAAATTCAAACTAGATAATAAGCTTTTTTTTTTTTGGTTAAATGTGAAAATTGCAAAATCCCAGTAGAAATGCTGGATTTAGAAGAGGCTATTTTGTTTGTTTGTTTTGGTCTTTTTGAGACAGGATCTCCCTGTAGCCCCAGCTGGCCTGGAATTCACTGTCTAGACCAGGCTGGCCTTGAATTCACAGAGATGCGCCTGTGTCTGCCTACCAAAAGAGGCTATGGTTTATATTCTTCTTGATACATAAAGGTGGTGTTTAAACTGGGCATAGTGGTATACTCTTTAATCTCAGCATTTGGGAGGCAGAGGCAGGCAGATCTCGGTGAGTTTGAGGCTAGTCTGGTCTAAATAGCAAGTTCCAGGTTAGCCAGGGCTATGTAATGAGACCCCATCTTTTAAAAAAAAACTGGTCAAAATACTAAAGCTCATTGTTTATATTATCACAGACATGACATTTTCATTTGTTGTATGTGTAGCAAAGTACTTGTGGGCTAACAGGCTGATAAGGTTATTAGAGATCACTTCAGTTTAACTGGAAGTTCCTATTTCCTGTTTTTCACAGTTCCTGTGAGCTGTTGAAAAGTGAGATTTCAGATTATATGATACTTGTTTATAGTAGTGCTTCTATTTCTAACAAATACATTTAATTCTTCCTTTTATTTTCATTCAAGAAAATTAAAAACTTTAGCCATAAAGAGAGTTGTTAAGCTTGGTTTATTGCTCTTTATTTTACAAGTTAAGTAGGCATTTCTAGTATTTTCATTGTGGTGATTTAATAATTTAGAATTTATAGGACTAAATGGCAGTAAAGATTTTCAAGAATTATATATTCGTCTGATTCTATTACAATCCCACTAGTTGGAGATTAAACAGCAGCCTATTTCTTAGCTTTCCTTAACATTTTATGCTATTTTTCAAGTTAATTTGCTGAAAATTTGAATAAGTATTACAATGCGTTTTGTGATGCTCAGTGCTTATGCAATGAGTAGTGTGCTGTTTTGACTCAAAGGTCAGAATTTAGTAAAAGTGTAAACTCAAATCAAAACTCCTTTGATATGTAAAGGTCCATGTTTATATTTTTCTGAATTATGCTGCATAGTTTTGTTTTGTTTTTTGGTCTTTTTGAGAGAGGGTTTCCTGTAGTCCCAGCAGACCTGGAACTTACTATGTAGACCAGGCTGGTATTGAACTCACAGAGATCCTCCTGAGTGCTGGGACTAAAGGCATGTGCCACCATGCCTGACTTCCTATGCTGCGTAGTTCTTAAAATTTAGGACTTAATTTCATTCATTTACCTTTTACATGTTTATAGAATGTATGTGTAGTAAATTATGTTATCAAGCGTATAGAAGTGCTTTGATGTAGTTTAAAATCTTGCAATCATTTAAGAATGGTTAACTTAAGGAAAAATGGCTTAGCAGAACACAAGAATTGCAAAATAATATAGGGTTATATTTTCAAGTTATTTTGCCTGTTTTTGTTTAAAGATCTTTTTGAATTTTAGGGGGAGAAAAATAGTGGCTTTGATGTTCTCTACCACAATATGAAACATGGACAGATATCAACTAAAGAGCTAGCAGATTTTGTAAGAGAAAGGTATGTATTTTTATAAGCAATTTGTTTGAAAACTTACCAGTTTGAGACTATAAGTAATTGAAATTTTAGTTGGATTTTGAATGATCATAGTTCACTTTCTTAAAAAATTTATTTTTGTTTTCTGTGTATGAGTGTTATGCCTCAGTGTGTGTAAGTACACCCATGTGGAGGTGCCTGTGGAGGACAGAAGAGGGCGTCAGATCCCCTGGAACTGGTGTTACGGACGGTTGTTAGCTGCCATGTGGTGCTGGGATTCGAACCTGGGTTTTCTGCAAGAATAGCCAGTGCTCTTAACCACTGAGCCATCTCTCCAGCCCCTCATAGTTCACTTTTTAAAAACATAATTACATTTTAAAGTATGTTTTACAACTTTTTATCATCTATGCACTGTTGCTTCAGAGTGACATTACTGAACCCCTGGTACTGCTTTACAATATTATCTATGTGTTTTCCATCAAATGTGTTTGCAAAATGATGCTCCAAAACTGAGAATTTTTATAGGATAAAATATTCCATTTCTTTAAGTATGCATGCTAAATAATTTGAAAAACTTCTGAATTCATAGTTTATGTATTAAAAAGCCTTAACTTTATAGGATTTTTTAAAATTTTATTTTATTTTTTTTGATTTGTTTTTTGGCAGGGTCTCCCTAGTCATAGCCAACCTGGAAGTCCAATGTGAATCGGGTGGCCTCTGTCTTGCAGAGATCCACTTGCCTCTGCCCCTCGAGGGCTGGGATTAAAGGTGCATACCACCACCATGTTGTTTTGTTTTTTTGAGACAGAGTTTCATTATATTGCCCTGACTAACCTTGAAGTTGATGTGCAGACCAGGCTGGCTTCCTGAGATCTGCCTGCCTATGCCTCCCGAGTGCTGGGATTGAAGTCGTGCCACCACGCCTGGCCTCATTTATCTTTTTAAAAAAATTTTATTATTTTTATTTTATGTGTGTGAGTATATTGCCTGCATGTGTGTAAGTGCACCTGTGTCCTGCAATGCTTGTGGATATCAGAAGATGGCATTGGATCCCCTGGAACTGGAGTTACAGATGGTTGTTAGTTGCCATGTGGGTGCTGGGAATTGAACCTGGGTCCTCTGCTCTTAACTGCTGAGCCATCTCTCCAGCCCTTCATCTATCTTTTTAAAATTTGTTTTATTTATTTATTTTTATTTTATGTGTACGAGTGTATTGCCTGCTTGTGCGTATGTGCACCTGTGTCATGCAGTGCCTGTGGAGGTCAGAAGAGGGTGTTGGATCCCCTGGAACTGAAGTTATGAATGGTTGTTAGCTGCCATTTGGATGCTGGGAACCGAACCTATTTACTCCGAAAGAGCAGTCAGTGCTCTTAACCACCAAGCCCTTTAAAAAAATTTTTTTAAGACTGTCTCACTGTGCAGCCCTGACTTACCTGGAACTTGGTTGTATAGATCAGACTGGTCTGGAACTCACAGAGCTCCTCCTGCCTCTGCCTCTCAAGTGCTGGGATTAAAGGCATGTGCTACCACACTTGGTGATTTCTAGTTCTTTATATAATTTCTTGATCTGATTTATTACAAGTTTAAGCTTTATCATTTTAATACATAGAAACCTAATTGAGATGTGGCTCTGTGTGTGTGTGTGTGTGTGTGTGTGTGTGTCTGTTTGTCTGTCTGTCTGTCTTGAGTCTGAAAAGCATCAAAAGAAGTGAGGTAGCTTAACAATCAGTAGGAGAAAATTCAAGAAAAAGATGTCTCAGTAGCTAACATGTTGATTCCTTATGTGCCTAAGTGGTCTTATGGATGTTTGTGTCAGTACGAGATCCAGAATTAGAGTGTAAAAGATCTGATTTGCAGTTCCTGTGAGTGCTTGTTTACTTTAAATTCATCCGTACTTTCAGGGTATTGCAGTTTGGAACTCAGTTTAAAGGAGATGGGGTTTCCCATGCTTTTCCGAGTCATTTTTAAGTTTTGTCTATGAAAAGCCCTGTTCTACTTCTTAGGTTTTTAGCTACTTTTTCTAAATTTTCCCAAGGGAAAAGCTGCCCAACAGTTGATTCACTTCTTGGGACATCATTCTGTTGATTTTGGCCTTTTTGTTATGCTATTAGTTTCTTGATGCCCCCTCCCTCTCTCTACTTCTCTCTCTCCCCACCTCACTCTTCTGTGTGTGTCTCTGTGTCTTTTCTCTTTCTCAAACATACAATCTCACACACACATACACACACTGCTAAGTCCCAAGTTTTTCTAATTTTCTTCAATAGAAGTCTTTTTTTCATACTCACTAATGCTAGATATTTCAGTGTTTTTCTAGTTAAACTTAACCATTAAGATATTATAGCATTGTTTAAAAAATACAGAATAATAGGGGCTAGAGAAATGGCTCAGCGGTTAAGAACACTAGTTGTTCTTGCAGAAGACCCGGGTTCAAATCCCAGCACCCATATGGCAGCTAATAACTGTCTGTAACTCCAGTTCTAGGGGGTCCGACAGCCTCTTCTGTTCTTGTAGGCATTGCACTACACAGGTGCACTTACCTACATGCAGGCAATATACTCATACACATAAAAAAACTAAAAATTATTTAAAAAATATATATAGAATAATAATGTTTTTGTTGTTGCTATTATTGGTTTGAAGTGGAGTCTCTGTTTCCCAAGTTGGCCTTCAGTTTTTCTTCTTGGTTGTGAGCCTGAGCCTTCAATGGCTTCACCATTTCTCCAGCCCTGGCTTTGAATTTGTGATCTTCCTGCCTCAGCCTACTAACTAGCTGGCATTATAGGTGTGTGCCCTAATACCTGGTACAAAAAGGCATAAGGAAGAAAAGGTATAAGCAGAAAAGAGTCACAGTGTTGTTAGTGAGAGGCAGTTTATAATTTCTTTTGTGAAAGGGACTAGATAAGAGTTTGAAGATGAGTATAGTTATGCTTATATCTAAGTATAGTTATGCTTGGGGGAGTTGGATATTGAACAGATGCTTTAGTGAAGAGCAGTATGGAGATCTGGATTTGAACATTACAAGAGGAAAATTAGTTGAACCTGTTCAAGTAAATAAAAGGACAGGGAAATTTATAAAATACTATTAAGAGTAGCACATAATTGAGAGGACTAAGGAGATTATGGAAAAAATAAACATATAACATTCATAGGTTATATGTCTGTAGGACTTGTGTTTTTAAAAATTAGTGTTTAATGACTGGGATTGGTTTCTTAGCTTAAAACCTACATGCTAATAGTAGTTACATAAATGTTTTCTAATATGAAATACTTAAATGTTTTAGACTTATTTTCAAAATAAACTGGTCAGTACTTCAGACTTGCTGGTGATTCATACTTAGTTTTGTGCAGATGACTGTCATCAGGTTCATTATTTTAAAGGTTTTAAAATTAAATTTATATTTATTTATTTTGTGGGTTGTGAGAGGGGAGCATGCATACAGGTGGAGGTCAGAAGACAACTTGTGGGAGTCAATATCTCTGTCCATTATGTGGGTCCCAGGGATTGAACTCAGGCTTGGTTGCACACATTTACCCACTGAATCATCTGACTGGTCCAGGATCATTATTTTAAATGTGCATCACAATGTTGAACAATAATAAAACTGTATTATGTATGCTAAGGAAGTATTAAGGCCAGTTAACATATCATAGTGAATCAGTGTATAGAGACTAGAAGGAGGAACATTTTTATGCTTCTTGTTCAAATAATCATTGGTATTAAAGATAAAAGATAGTAACTTGAATAAGTTTTGTGATATATATTAATTCCATACCCTAGTTTTTAACACAAGATATACACAAAAGGCATTAAAAAAATAGATCTAAGCTGGACGTGGTAGTGTACATCTGTAGTCCCAGCACTTGGGAGGCAGAGGCAGGCAGATCTCTGTGAGTTCAAGGCCAGCCTGGTCTACATAGTGAGTTCCAGGACAGCTGAGGCTACAGGGAGACCCTGCTTCAAAAAGGCCAAAAAAAAAAAAAAAAGATCTAAAATTCATGACTTGACTATCAGCTGATCCCCCCCCATGGTATTAGCATTTGAACCCAGGGCCTTTCACATGTGCTCAGCTTTTGAGTTACATTCCCCAGTCTTATTTTGAGACAGGATCTCACTGTGTAGCTCAATCCAGGCTTAATCTCACTGTGTAGCCCAGACTGGCCTTGAATTTGAGATTTTCCTAACCTCAGCCTTCCCAATGTAGGGATTACAGGTGTGCACCACCATGCCTGGCCCTACTGAGTTTTTTTTTTTTTTTTTTTTTTTTTTTTTGCTATAATTATTTTGTTACTAATGTTAATCTCTTAGTATGTTACTAATGTTAATCTCTCTCTAATTTATAAATTAAACTTTTATCATAGATGTATGTATAGGGAAAGAACATAGTATATATAGGTGTTCTAGTTATACTTTTCACTGCTATGACCAAAGAAAAGCAATATAAGAGGGGAAAGATTTATTTTGGTTCACAGTTTCAGAGGTGTCAGTTCATGATCAGCTACTTCCATAGCTTTGGGACTGAGACAAGGCAGGCTCTCACAGTAATGAGAGAATCTGATAGCCAGGAAGCAAAGAGCCAGATTAAAAACGGGGCTAAGGATAAGGTATATCTTCCCAGAACACATCCTGGTGACTTACTTCCTCCAGCTATGCCCTACCTTCTGATTTTACCACCTCCCAGTAATGCCACCAGATTATGAATCCACCAGAGCATTGATCCGTTGCTTAAGACAGAGGCCTCATGACCCAGTCCCCTCTCAGTGATTGGGTCAACCAGCTGGGACCAAGTCTTCAATCTTTTGGGACCTTTTTGGGAAACACCACATAATCAGATCATAACAATAGGGCTTAACACTATCCATGACTTCAGACAGCCACTGGGAACCCTTCTACTGATTTTTGACATGTAATTTGAGGTGTGTTTTCATGTCTGCATTTTTAATTGTGTTTTTATAGCTTTGCTATATTTTTGGTCACTAAACAGATACTATAACAATTTAATTTTACAGAGCTACGATAGAAGAAGCATATTCCAGATCAATGACAAAACTAGCAAAATCTGCAAGCAATTATTCACAACTTGGGTGAGTTAATTTCTTCATGTTTTTAAATGTTTGTTTAGGCAAAGTTCTTGAGAATATTATGTTGCTATTAAGGATATAATAGTTCATGACTATAGCAATATTCAGTTAAACATTTAATGATGATACATTTGAGAAATGTGTTCTTAGGCAATTTTATCTTTGTGTAAATGGTGTTGGATCTTTTTTTTTTTTGGTCTTTTTAAGACAGGGTCTCACTGTGGCCCCAGCTGGCCTGGAATTCACTTTGTAGACCAGACTGGACTTGAACTCAAAAAGATCTGCCTGCCTCTGCCTCCTGAGTGCTGAGACTAAAGGCGTGTGCCACCATGCCCAGTACAGCCTAGGATCTTTAAAAAATTATTTTATGTATTATTTTGTGTATGAGTGTATTGTATGCACTTGTGTAAGTGCACCCATGTCAATGTAGTGCCCATGGAGATCAGAAGAGGGCATCAGATCCCCTGGAACTGAAGTTACGAAAAGTTATTAGCCCTCATGTGGGGGCTGGGAACCAAACCCTGTTCTCAGCATGAGCAGTTAGTGCTCTGAACTGCTGAGCTATCTCTCCAGCCCCAAGCATAGGATATTTCTACAAAAATGTAGCTGGCTGTGAATATATTCTACTTTGAAGATGCTGAATCAGTTAATACAAAGTTAAGTAAGCTTATTTTTTTCTATGCAAATCATTTAATATTATAAATTTGAGGTTATACATAGTGTAAAATATTCTAGTTTTCCGTGAATTCATGTAAATTTTGTTGCAATTTAACAGTGAGCCTTAAAAATATACTTACATAGGCTAGAGAGATGGCTCAGCGGTTAAGAACACTGGTTGTGCTTGGAGAAGGGTATCCCAGCACCCACATGGCAGCTAACAACTGTCCATAACTCCAGTTCTAGGGGATCTGACAGTCTCTTCTGCCCTCCGCAGGCATTGCATGACACAGGTGGACTTACCTACACACAGGTAATACACTCATACACGTGAAATTAAAAAGAAATTTTAAAAATCTACTTAAATTACCCAGGATAGTGATACAGGCCTGTAGTTTCAGCATTCAGGAGGCTGAGACAGGAAGATCTTGAGGTTGAGGCCAGCTTGGGCTATATAGTGAGACCCTATCTCAAAAAAAAAAACCCTATCAGCAGCAGCAAGAACAACAGCAACAAAAACTCATGTAAAAACTAAACTTTATTCAAATGATTGAACTCATTTTAATGTTTTTCTTAAAGACAATCATTAAATTGTCCATTGAAAAATTGTATTCCTTTAAAAATGGAAATTAGTAATATGACTATATAATAAAAATGTACTCATAGCCCTAACACCTATGGAAATAATAATTATATAATCTAAACTTTAACAACTCTCAAAGGAATTTTATCTAAAAGTTGAGGAAAGGCTGGCTGTATCTTAGGCTAACAAAATTTTTGTGGTGCTACTAAAAGACTCATCTATATCAGGGATTTTTTTTTTTTTCAGGAATGTTTAACTTTATTTATACATTAAGCAAGGTGTACGTACATACATACCACATTATCCTATCACTTTGTACATTTTTTTTTACAATTAAAGTTACAGTTTTAACAATATACAAAATATTACAGTAATTCAGATTTTTTGGCATAATGATTACAGATTTGATAAATACATTTTATATCTCATAATAGCGATGAAGATTATACAAAAGCTATTAAAACAATTATAAGAATAAATTCAATTGTCACTTAAGTATCAGGGATTTTTATTTTTAAATTTTAATTTTTTGTGTCTGAGTGTTTTGCCTACATATATGTAAGTACACTTGTGCATACAGTGCTCATGGTGGCCAGAAGAGGGCCTCAGATCCTCCAGAACTGGAGCTATAGATAATTTTTAGCTACCAAGTGCGTGCTGGGAACCAAAGCTGGATTCTCTGCATGAGCAGCCAGTGCTCTTAACTATTTAGCCATCCCTACAGTCCCTCCCTTTTAAAGATTTGTTTTTTTATTTGTATGTCTATGTTTGTGTCTGTGAGTATGCTCTTTGGGTGTATCTTCAGAGGCCAGAAGAGGGTGTTGGATTCCCTGGAGCTGGTGTTACAGCTGGTTGTAAGCCACTTGATGTGGATGCTAGGAACCCAACTCAGCAAGTGCTCTTGTCCCTTGAGCCATCTCTTCAACCCCTATTGCTGAGATTCTGATAAATCTGTGAATCTCTTGAAATTTGGTGCAAAATTCTGTGTATATCTAATTCATATATTCCTAATCAGAAGGGTCTGTAGAAATGATCAGATTTATAGATGATTCTGGTTTTAAAAATATTAAGAAGAACTTTTATGGCATTGTTCTATAGTGTGATTCAGGGAGGTTAAAGAAGACTCTTCCTACTCTGTAGCCTGGACTAGGGGGAGTTGTAATCCCATTTATCTTCAGTGCAGTGACACTGTCCATTCTATTATATGCTGATAGCCCACACAGCCAGGAGGACTTCTTGCCGCCCTGTACAGTGTGACTGGGAAGGCTGATGAGCTGTTCCACCTTTTCGCCCAGAAGCGTGGAGACTGGTGGTTGATAACTAATTTTGTTTTTTTCCTCCCCATTTATTCTCCAGTCCCTTTCTCTTTTTTTCTTTTGTTACAACTTCATTCTTTCTTATTTTTTCTCTTCTCACTTTTTGACTTGCTATTTCTAGAGGCTCCATGTCTGTAAATATCATCTGAAATATAATTTCTTCTTTCCTAACCATAGTAGAGGGGTCAGAAAAGCTGAATTTAGCTAATCGACCTTGGCTGTATTTAGAAAAATCTACACTGATATGAGGGGGAAGAAACATGGATTGACTTCCTCTTGTGTTTCCTGACAACATTCCTATGTTTGGAATGTGTGCTTTTTGTAAGTAATAAGTGGCATATTTTTGTTCATCATTTCAAGATCATAAATATTTTAAATATGTTTTTGTTTACTGTTGCATATTTTAGTAGGAGGTTCAATTTTGTCTGTGCTCAGTTTCATTTAGCATATTTTGAATTTCTCCATTTCTTTCTTAGTGCTTATTAATGTGTGATGTACATTACTTGACCAGAAAAATTGTGTATATCAAACATAAGAACTTAATCACATTTGAAATTCCTTAAAGAAGTCTAATTTTTATTTTTACTTATTTATTTTTATAAAATATTTTATTTATTATTTTTATTTTATGTGTATGGGTGTATTGCCTGCATGCATGTAAGCTCACTCATGTTGTACAATGCTCACAGAGGTTAGAAGAGGGTAATGGATGTCCTGGAACTGGAGTTATGGACAGTTATTGCTGCCATGTGGGTGCTGGGATTCAAACCCGGGTCTTCTGCAAGAAACCCCAGTGTTCTTAACCACTGAGCAATCTCTCCAGCCCCAGAAGTCTAATTTTTAAATTGTGTGTGTGTGTGTGTGTGTGTGTGTGTGTGTGTACGTGTGTACGTGTACACAAGCATGTCGAGGTTAGAGGACAACAACTTTGTGAAGTCAGAGTCAGTTCTGCCCTTTCTACCTTTACATGGATTTCTGGGGATTGAACTCAGACCATTAAGTTTGCAAGGCAAGTGCCTTTCCCTTATGAGCCATCTTGCCAGCCCCAATAAATCTATTTTTAGAGAAATCTTATTGAATCCATTTTCAGTGTAAAGAATAGGCTGGTAAAATAAAATATACTCTGTCTTATCTGCTTTGTGAAATCTTACCTAGCACATACCAGGTTTACATGAAGTACATGTATCTTTTTCTTTTGACCTTTTCCATTGTAATCACTACCAGATTGAATGCTGATTAAATTTCTAAGTTTGAGATAAGATCTAATCAGATACTCCTAGTCTGAAGATTTTAATTAACCTATTTGAACTAACTCACTATTGCATATGATGAGTGTTCAGCTAACTTTTCTTTCTTTTTGGTCTTTTTGAGACAAGGTCTCCCTGTAGCCCCAGCTGGCCTGGCTCTCACTATGTGGACCAGGCTAGCTTTGAACTCAAAGAAATTCCCCTGCCTCTGCCTCCCCGAGTGCTGGGACTAAAGGCATGCACCACCATGCTCAGCTTCAGCTAACTTTTCTATGGGTTAGGAAATTGAATAAATGACAAGAGAGTATATTGTAGAATAAGTCCTTGTATTCTCTGCCCTCTTACCTTAATGATCATTGTAGCCATTTGTTTTTTCTATTAGAAACTTTATTCTAGAAACTAGCTTTCAGCATTTAATTTGAGCAAGAATAAATTATCCTAAGGCCATTCTCTACTGACCAAACTTAAACCATAAACATACTATCCAAAGTACGGTAATTGTAGCAGCTCTTGTATTTGAGCCTGCTGAACTCAATTTATTTATTTTATTAGGTTTTTAAAAGATTTAAAAAAGTTTTAAATGTTTTTGATTTATTCATTTTTATTTTATGTTTATGACTGTTTTGACTGCATGTATGTAAGTGCACCATGTGCATGCAGTACCCACAGAGGCCAGAAGAGGTCTTTGAATCCCCTGCAACTAGAGTTAGGGACAGTTGTTAGCCATCCTGTGGATGCTGGGAACTGAACCGGGGTCTTCTGCAAGAGAAGCCAGTGCTTGTAACTGCTGAACCATCCCTCTAGGTCTCTGCTTAACATTTTAAATCCTTGCTATTGAGAAAAAGTTTTAGGAAAATGTCATCCATTTTTGAAGTACATAAATAAAGTTACAAAGCTCAGACAAAAGTTTCAGATAACTGCTGTTAAATAACTCATAAATAATTGTTAAAGACACAAAGAAATTACATGTAAAATTGATTTACTTATTTACATTCAAAGAAGTTTTTACTGCTGTTATCATTACCATTATTATTATGGTGCTGGAAATCAAACCCAGGGCTTCTTACATATTAAGTAAGCTTTTTATTACTGAGTTATGTCTCCTACCCAAGAAAAACTTTTATTTTTGCTGAAGCACCTTAAATGGAATACTAAATAGTTTAAAAGTTTGATAAATTAACTTTAAAAAAAATATTTTATTATTTTTATTTTATGTGTATGAGTGTTTTGCCTGCATGTATGTGAGTGCACCTGTGTCGTGCAGTGCCTCAGAGGTCAGAAGAGGCCTTCGGATTCCCCTGGAACTGGAGTTAAGGATGGTTTGTAGCTGCCATATGGGTACTGGGAATCGAACCCTGGGTCCTCTCCAAGAGCAGTCGTTGCTCTTAACTGCTGAGCCATCTCTCTAACCCCAGATAATAGTCAGTGATAGAAAGGCTTGTGATGTGTCTAAATAACCAAATAGGGGCTGGAGAGATAGTTCAGCAATTAATAGCATTGATTGCCTTTGAAGACGACCTGGGTTTGATTCCCAGCATCCATTAACAACCACCACAACCCCAGTTCCAGGGGTTCTGATGCCCTCTTTTGGCCTCTGCAGGCATTGCATGATGTGGGTGCACTTACATACTTGCAGGTAAAACATACACATGAAATAATAAAAATAAATAAATTTTAGGCCAGGCATGGTGGTACATGCTTTTAATCCCAGCACTCGGCAGAGGCAGGTGGATCTCTGTGGGATTGAGGCCAGCCTGATCTACATAGTGAGTTCCAGGCCAGCTAAGACTACAGCTCCCTGTAGCTCCTCTGTCTCAAAAAACAAACAGGGCTGGAGAGATGGCTCAGCAGTTAAGAGCACTAGCTGTTCTTGCAGAGAACCCAGGTTCAGTTCCCAGCACCCACATGGTGGCTAACAACCATCTGTAATTCCAGTTCCAGGGGATCGAACAACCTCTCTGGCCTCCATGGGCATTGCATGACATGGGTGTACTTACATACATCCAGGCAAAACACTTATACACATAATAAATAAATAAAAAAAGAAATGGTCATAAACTGAGTGTATAAACAGGAAGTCACCAATAATCAATTTTTAAGGTACCCAACTGTATAGTTTGGCTATCTTCTTGTGCTTAGTAACTTCCTGATTTATCTTCAGTATGAAGATTATTATTTCTTTTGGTCTTTTTGAGACAGGGTCTCCCTGTAGCCTCAGCTGTCCTGGAACTCAGCCTTGAACTCACAGAGATCCACCTGTCTCTGCCTCCCGAGTGCTGGGAGTAGAGGCATGCGCCACCACACCCAGCTCATTTCATTATTTTAATTCTACCTTCTGCCTAAATAAAATTGTTGAATATACTATTATTGATTCTGTTTAGGTGGTCTTTTTGAGACAGGGTCTCCCTGTAGCCTCAGCTGTCCTGGAACTCAGCCTTGAACTCACAGAGATCCACCTGTCTCTGCCTCCCGAGTGCTGGGAGTAGAGGCATGCGCCACCACACCCAGCTCATTTCATTATTTTAATTCTACCTTCTGCCTAAATAAAATTGTTGAATATACTATTATTGATTCTGTTTAGGTTCAACTTAGAATGCTAAACTTTCCTTTTTCTCTTTTTTAATATTTTACTTATTATTTTTATTTTATGTGCACGAGTATATTGCCTGCATGTATGTGAGTGCACTCGTGTTGTGCAGTGCTGCGGAGGTCAGAAGTGGGCTTCGGATTCCCCTGGAACTGGAGTTACAGATGGTTGTTAGCCACCATGTGGGTGCTGGGAATGGAACCGGGGTCCTCTGCAAGAGCAGTCAGTGCCCTTAACCGCTGAGCCATCTCTCCAGCCCCATTTTCTTTCTTGCGTGTGTATGTGTGTGTGTGTGTGTGTGTGTGTGTGAGATGTTTATATGTATGATGTATATATGTGTGATTGCAGGTTCATGGGTGCCTTGGCATATGTGTGTAAATCAGAGGACAGCTTTTGGGGTTCAGTTCTCTCCTTACACTGTAGGTTCTGGGAATTGAACTCAGGTCATCAGGTGCACATGGCAAGCGTGTTTTTACTTGCTGAGCCATTTAATGGCTTCTTTTTCCTCTTAATAAATTTTCCCAATATTGTGATTTTTTTCCCTTAGAACATTTGCACCAGTGTGGGATGTATTCAAAACATCTACAGAGAAATTAGCAAATTGTCACTTGGATCTTGTTAGAAAATTACAGGAGCTAATAAAGGAAGTTCAGAAGTATGGAGAAGAGCAAGTAAAATCTCATAAAAAGGTAACTTTTTCTCATTAAAGAATTGAGTAGTTAGAGATTCATTGCTCATTCTATTGAACCATTTCATATCAAACAGACAAAAGAAGAAGTTTCAGGGACTCTGGAAGCTGTCCAAGCCATTCAGAACATAACTCAAGCCCTCCAGAAATCCAAGGAAAATTACAATGTCAAGTGTGTAGAACAGGAACGTCTGAAAAAGGAAGGAGCAACACAAAGAGAAATAGAAAAGGTAATAAAAATATCTCTGTATTTCCAAAGTACTGTGTGTGTGTGTGTGTGTGTGTGTGTGTGTATGTATGTGTGTGTGTTTGTGTGTTTGTCTTGCCTGTGCATGCACATGTTGAGGCCAGAAGTCAGTATCAGGTCTCTTTATCAGTCACTCACCACCTTCATTGTTTTTAAGTGTTTTTATTTATTATTTTTATTTTGTGCGTATGAGTGTATTGCCTGCAAGAGCATCTGTGTTGTGCAGTACCCACGGAGGTCAGAAGAAGGCATCAGATCCCCCCAGAACTAGAGTTACGGATGTTTGTTAGCCGCTATGTGGGTTCTGGGAATCGAACCCAGGCCCTCTGTAAGAGCAGCCAGTGCTCTTAACCACTGTGCCATCTCTTCATCCACCTTAATTTTTGAGTCAGCATCTCTTACTGAACCTGTAGCTCACTGTTTCAGCTAGATAATAGGTGGCCATTGAGTCCCTAGGATCTGCCCCCTCCTCCCTCCAGTACTAGGGTTACAGAGGTTCAGTGCCATGCCTGGATTTTTTGTGCATCCTGGGGATCTGAACTCAACAAGCTCTTATGCTTGTGCAGTGAACACTTTACCCAGTGAGCCATCTTCCCAGCCCCAGTTTCAAAGTTATTTGACTTGCAGGACGGAATCTACTGTTTAGACAGTGAAGAATGATTTGATTGCATTTTAAATATGAAAAGACTCAGGGCTGAAGAGATGGCTCAGCAGTTAAGAACACTGGCTGTTCTTGCAGAAGACCCAGGTTCAAATCCCAGCACCCACATGACAGCTAACAACTGTCTGTAACTCCAGTTCCAGGGGATCTAACAACCTCTTCTGTTCTCTGCAGGCATTGCACGACATGGGTGCACTTACTAACATGCAGGCAATACACGCATACACATAAATAAAAATAAATAAAATATTTTAGAAAATGAAAAGACTGCATCTTAAAGTGTTTGCAGGTTATAGAAGTAAATTTGTAAAATATAGTATCTGTGGTAAATAGGAAACACGAATTTTTAAAAATTTCAGTGATACTTGAAGATTTCATTGACACATTTACAGGACTTTTTTTCTTTTACATGTTTTTAAATTTATTTGAGAATTTCATACACATATGCATTTGATTCTAGTCACCCCCTCATGTTCCACCTCCCACTTCATTCTCCCAACTTCATGTCTTTTTTCTTTTTTTAAACAATAACCCAGTGAGTCCAGTTAGAGTGGTTCATATGTGCATGGGTATAAGCCATCTACTGGAGCTTGGGCAGTCTACTAAGTTGGGCAGTACTCCTGAAGAAAACTGACTCTCCTGGCAACACCCATCAATTGCCAGTCTCTTCAGTTAAGGGTGGGGCCTGATGAGCCCCTCCCCCCTCCTTGCTGGAATGTTGATTGGCTGGAATGCAGGCAACCCCACAACTGCCATGAATTCATGAGTTTATCTGCTCTGTCATGGCCAGAAGACACTGTTTCACAGAAGTCCTCCCCAACCTTTGGCTCTTTACAATCTTTCCGCTCCCTCTTCATTTTGTTTTCTGAGCTTTGGAGGGACAGATTGTGATTTAGATGTCCCATTTTGGGTTGAGCACTCCACAGTCACTTACCCTTCATTTTGACCAGTTGTGATTCTCTGTATTAAGTATTGTCCACTGCAGAAAGAAGCTGACCTGATGAGAGTTGATAGCTTCACCAAACATTTTTATGAATTTTAATTTTGGGTGCTTGTGGTTGAACTCATGATCTGTGTATGCTAGGCGAGGACTTTACCAATGAATCATATATACACTGAATACACTGAAGGATTTTTTTTTTTCTTCCATGCTAGCTAGGCAAGTACTCTTATCACTACGTCACCTCAGCACAGAATATTTTGTGTTTCTGTCTGTGTTTATGCACTTCGTGTATGCATGTAGAGGCCAGAGGGTGACATTGGGTATCTTCTTTGCTGTCCATCTTATCTTTTGAGACAGGGTGTGTCATTGAACTCTGTGCTCACCAAGCGATTAGACTGACTTGCTGGCCAGAGAGCACTGGGAAGCCACCTGCCCCTAATTCCTGTGCTAGGGTTGCAGATGTGTGCAACTATACCTGGTTTTTTTTACATGGGTGCTTGGAATCTGAACTTGGGCCCTCATACTTGCATGGAAGACACTTTACTAATTAAGCCATCGTCCCACATCTAGATAAATTTATAGCAAGACAATTGATGAAATATTTAGCATATTCAGAAAAATATAGCTACTTGAAGATAAGCTTTAAGTGTATGTTGTTGCTGATTGTTCACATTTATGTTACATTGTAGTCAACCATAACCCTTTCCCCTATTCTGTTCTAATTGAAAGTAGGATCTTTTTTTTTCCCTCTTAAAGCAGTTCAGCTATTCACTTATTTGATATATCTCATTTAGAAATAATTTTGAAAACTTTGTGAATTATTTAAGGGGACTGGAGAGATGGCTCAGCCATTAAGAGCACTGGCTGCTCTTGCAAAGGACCTGGGTTCAGTTCCCAGCATCCACATGGCAGTTAACAACTGTCCATAACTCCAGTCCAGGGGAATCTGATGCCCCCTTCTGACCTCTGCAGGCATTGCATGACATGGTGCATTTACACACATGCTGCCTATACACATACCAAAACGTGTATTTATGCACAAAAACTAGATGAGAAAAAAATTAAAGTTGACAGAATTTGGAATAATAAATTTCTTTAACGTTTATGCAATAAAAATTGGGAGGGGTTGGCCAGGCATGTTGGTGCATGCCTTTAACCGCAACACAGGAGGCAGAGACAGGTGGATCTCTGAGTTCAGGGCCAACCTGGTCTACATAGTGAGTTCCAGGCCAGCTGGGGCTACAGGGAGACCCTATCTGAAAAAGACCAAAAAAAAAAAAAAAAAAAAAATTGAGGGGGAGAAAATGAGGTACAATTAAGTTTATACTTTGAAAACTTCTGTTCCAGTACAGCAATTATTTGAAAACAAAAATAACCAAGTCCAAAAGAGGAGTATTATTTCTGAGAACCAGAAATCTGAAGTGCCATGACAAGATTGGTTATAAACCTTGTTGGACCTAAACCCCTAAGGAAGGCAGTAGAATTTGGCTTTTATGACAAAGGGAAATGTCGAAGTTTCCATGAGGCACAAAAAGCCTAGCTTACTGCTTAAAGCTATTTAAGTGAAGAAAAAGAGGAAAGGCTCTTGAATTGCTGTCTAAGGCCAAAGACTATGAGAGGTGGGGGCCTTAGGGACATAATCTATAGACAAGTAATCCTGACCCAGAATCAGTCCATAGAGCCAGTTCATGACTCTTGGCTATATCCCTAATATTCTCATAGGAAAGTAACTTAAACTACTTTTATTTTATTTATTTATTTTTGGTCTTTTTGAGACAGGGTCTCCCTGCAGCCACAGCTTGCCTGGATTCATTATGGAGACCAGGCTGGCCTCGAACTCACAGAGATCCGCCTGCCTCTGCCTTTCAAGTGCTGGGACTAAAGGTGTGTGCCACCATGCCTGGCTTTAAACTAGTTATAAAAGATACTCAGTTGGCTCTTGGAGAGCTGGTAGTAAACCTAAAAACTGGATGGGATGGGTAAGCATAAAGGATAAAGAATAAACCCCATTTGGGAATGTCCTGTTTACTTTTATTTTGTGTAGCACTTCAGTTCTCATGCCGAGAGAGAGAGAAGGCAAAACCTAAAACCTCCCATTTGGAATGAGCAAACAACTAAAACTCTAGAACACATTTAAGAAATTTAATAGAGACAGACAACTAATATATTTGGCAGTTGGAATAAGAATTTACATCACAGCCGGGCGTCATGGTGGCATGCCTTTGATTCTAGCACTCGAAGACGCAAAGACAGGCAGATAGATCTCTGTGAGTTCGAGGCCAGCCTGGTCTCCATAGTGAATCCAGGTCAGCTGGGGCTACAGGGAGGTCTCAAAAAGTCCAAAAAATGAATTCACATCAAGGGGTTTGGAGAGATGGCTCAGCCGTTAAAAGCACTGACTGCTTTTGCAGAGGACCTGGGTTCAGTTCCCAGCACCTACATGGTGGCCAGCAACCTTCTGTAACTCCAGTTCCAGGGCTCCCGACACCCTCTTCTGGCTTCCAAGGGTATTGCATGAGACATGCACTTAGCCTGCAGGCAAAACACACATATGCTGGCCAGAGTGGTGGCACACGCCTTTAACCCCAGCACTGGGGAGGCAGGGCCAAGTAGATCTCTGTGAGTTCAAGGCCAGCCTGGTCTACATGGTGAGTTCCAGGCCAGCTGGGGCTACAGGGAGACCTTGTCTAAAAAAGTCAGAAAACAACAACAACAAAAAAAACCTCATACACATAAAAATTAAAAAAAATTCTCATCAGACAATTTAAATTTATAAAGCATGAACAAAATTTTTGACTGTCAGCTTGTGCAAAGAAGATAAGTGAACATAAATTGCATTATATAAGATTAAAAATTAATGGAGGTGGGGTTGGAGAGATGACTCATCAGTTAAGAACACTGGATGGTCGTGCAGAAGAACTTGGGTTTGGTTCCCAGCACCCTTGTAACTCTAATTCTAGGGGATCCCATAGAAGAAAATCCAAAGGAAACTCAGATTACTAAGCCACTAGAATTTTTTTCTAAAATAAATTCTGCCAAACATGATTATATGGTTTCCTTTGTAAACTCTACATAGCCATTTATCTAATTGTTGTATTTAAATATGGCAAGAATGTTAAAAGAAATAATATCAGATGGCTAGACTGTGGGGAAAAGTTTTTAAAAAACTATAGGAACAAAGTATAACTGGTAAAGGTTTTAGTTGTGTTCTCTAGGGATGGGCAACTCAGTGCAAGTCAGTGATGTAGAGGTATCTTTGCATAACAGCAAAACTGAATGATAATATATTCTTGATGATATTCCTTGTTAGAGACCATAAAAACAGCTGTTAAGATTTATATTGTAAATTTACATGTATGCCAGACCCTATCCTAAGCAAAACATTTTTTAAAAATTTTATTTTTATTTTATGTGTATGCACGTGTTGCCTGCATGTAGGTAAGTGCACCCATGTCGTACAATGCCCTTGGAGGTCAGAAGAGGCTGTTGGATCCCCTGGGACTGGAGTTATGGACAGTTGTTAACTGCCATTTGGGTTCTGGGATTTGAACCTGGGTCTTCTGCAAGAACAACCAGTGTTCTTAACCAGTGAGCCATCTCTCCAGCCCCAGCAAAACATTTTTTAACTATTTATTTATTTATTTATTTGTGTGTGTGTGTGTGTATGCATGCACACCTGTGACAGAGGGCACTTTGTAGGAGTCAGTTCTCTCCTTCCATCACGTGGGTTCCAGAGTTGTCAAGCTTGATAGCAAGCACCTTTACCCACTGAGCCATCTTGCCTGCTCCTAAGTACTTTATCAGATTATATTTTGTCCCTGCTGCAGCTTTAAAAATATCTGATGGTGGTCCTGTTTTAGGAGTTTGGGAACAATGTGAAACTCAAAGACAAGGCAGAACAGGCAGTAAATGGTTGGTCCAGAACTTGAATCCCTTTTCATCTGGCTCCAAAACAGTTTTATTTATAGCACAAATTAAAGTGGCACCCTATATTCTTTATTTAAGAAGGCAAGAAAGCCAGGTGTGGTGACGCATGCCTTTCATCCCAGCACTCAGGAGGCAGAGGCAGGTGGATCTCTATGAGTTTGAGACCAGCTTGGTTTACATAGTGAGTTCCAGGCTAGCTGGGGCTACAGGGAGGGCCTGTCTCAAAAATTTAAAAAAAAAAAAAAGGGGGGAAGAAAGTGATTGGAAAAATGGTTCAGTAATTAAGAGCACTTGCTGCTCTTGCAGATGACCAGGGTTTGGTTCTCAGCATTCATATGTCTGCTCACAACCAGTTATAACTCCAATTCCAGAGAATCTGACGCCCTCTTCTGGACTCTGTGGGTACTGCATGCATGTGGTGCACTTACATATATGCAGACAAAACATCCATACATGTAAGATAAAAATAAATTTTAAAAATCCTTTTAAAAAAGGATAGGAAAGCATATAACATGTACATCCTATAATTTTTATTATATTTTAGAGAATACAGTATTATCTAAAAGGGAGTAGGTCCATAAACATCTCTTGCTAATTTTAGAACTCATGGTAAAGTCACTTTTCTGATTCTAGTTCTTGTTCTTTGACTCCTGATCACAGCTAAAGCTAATTATGTACTGGTCTAGATTGGCACTACACAAATGTCCTTGCTTATAGCTTTTCTTGGCCTTTAGCAATACTTTGACCAACTCCAGCAATACTCTTTATCATTTAGTCTTATTACCTGTTGTATACCCTCATCTTTCTATGTCAAATTGATCACTCCTTTGAGAATAGGGATCTTTATTATTTTTTTCTCTCCCTCCCTCACAGGGTGGGTGTGTAGCCCCAGCTGGCCTGCTACTGGGAATCCTCCTGCTTCAACTGAGTGCTGGTATTACAGACAAACCATTGTGCCCAGCAGCAGAGCCTGGATAGCTACGTATCTGTCCTAGTATACAAGATACTCACAATATTGTTGCCTCCTAAATGTGTCTTCCCTAAGATTTATCTTGATTATTGTGGCATCATTACTTCCTAATTTCTATTCATGTGTAGATTATATTTTGAAGTCCTTGTGGAAAAGATGTCTTATATAACTTACCTTATGTTCTTAATACTTAGTTTAAAAAAATTTATTTTATGTGTATGAGTGTATTGGCTGCATGTAAGTGTACCCATGTAATGCAGTGCCTGAAGAGGTTAGAAGAGGGCATCAGAGTCCCTGGAACTGGAGTTATGGATGGTTGTTAGCTGCCATGTAGGTGCTGGCATTTGAACCTGAGTCCTTTGCAAGAACAGCCAGTGTTCTTAACCACTGATCCATCTCTCCAGCCCCCAATACTTAGTATTTTTGTTGGGTGTGGTGGGGCAGGCCTTTAATCTCAGCACTCAGGAGGCAGAGGCAGAGGCAGGCAGATCTTTCTGAGTTAAAGACCAGCCTGGTCTACATAGGGAGTTCCAGGCCAGGTAGGACTACATTGTGAGACTCTTGTCTCAAAAAAACCAAAACAAACAAAATGTTTTTTAATAATAATTGATAAAATTAAAACTACACTATTGCAATAGTAGAGTTCTAAAAAAGAGAAATCTTGAAAAATAGATAAAAATTAAAACCAAATTGATTGGTTTACTGGAACATAATGGAAACAGAGTTATCATGGAAAACAATCATTTCAACTTTTGAGTTTGGTTTATATGCTTTAATCATTCATTAAACGGATTATGAATATGCTGTTGGAAGAGGAACACTCACCATTGTTGAGAATAATACCATGGGCCTTCTGGTGGTATTGGTACAGTTTTGTACCTTGTTAGGAAGTTTCTTACAACTATTACTCATGATTATAAAATCTTGCTCTGGGTTATAAAGTAAGCTTGTTTTAAGTTTTTCAAACTACATGTCATTAGAAAGAAGAGTCCATGTTTAATTCCTGAGTTATTGTCCACCTATCACAAAAAGTAAATGGCTAATGCAGGCATTGAAGTATTAAAGTTTGTTACACATCATATTGAATTCTTAAGATGTATTTTAATTTGTTATGTTAGGAAAGAAATAAAAGCTAATTTGTAGTTTAAAATGCTTTTGTTTTGTTACAGGCAGCTGTTAAATCTAAGAAAGCCACAGATACTTACAAACACTATGTGGAAAAGTATGCATTAGCAAAAGCTGATTTTGAACAGAAAATGACAGAAACAGCTCAGGTTGGTATTTTTAAAGCTTTAAGTTGAAAACAGGATACATTTGTTTATATTGATTAAGAATGTGTCTGTTACTTAATTTTTTAACATTAGAATTAAAAAATACTTTATTTTTTATTTTATGTGTATGAGTATATTGCCTGCTTGTGTATAAGTGTACCTGTGTCATGCAGTGCCCTCGGAGGTCAGAAGAGGGTGTCGGAATTGGAGTTACGGACAGTTGTAAGCCTCCAAGTGGGTGCTGGGACTCAAACCTGGATCCTCTGCAACAGCAGCCACTGCTTTTAACCACTGAGCCATCTCTTCAGCTCAACATTAGAATTTTTTAATGCATCATTTTAGTGTTCTAATAACTCAAGTTGGCATTTTGTTTGGGAGATTGAGGACCAGCATGCAAAAAGCTAATGTCTGTGCTAGTTACTTTTCTTATTACTGTGACAAATACTTGACAGAAACAACTTAAGGGAAGAAGGATGGATTTCCTCCAGCTCATTGTTCAGGGAATATAGTCCATCATGGGAATGACAGGCATCAAGACCATCTCCTATCCAGATGGTGGGGAGTATGCAGAGAGCTTGAGATTGAAGTGGAGCCAACCTAGAATCTTCAAGTCCAATCCTATATCTGCCAGCTATGCTGTATGCCCAAAGGATTCCAGTTTCCCAGAATAATTCTACCAGCTGGGGACCAAGTATTCAAACACATGAACCTGTGAGGGATATTTCACATACAGAGTATGTCATAAAGATTTATCCGAATAAATAAGAAGAAACTGTTTAAAGACAACTAGGGGAAATTGGGGCATTGGTAGATAATGAAGATAATGCTGATTGTCAGGCTTGAGTTTGGCATTTTAAAATTTATTCTTATGTCTCCAGGCGTGGTGGCACACACCTTTAATCCCAGCACTCAGGAGGCAGAGGCCAGCAGATCTCTGATTTCAAGGCCAGCCTGGTCTACATAGTGAGTTCAGGCCTGCTGGGACTACAGGGAGACCCTGTCTCAAAAAGACCACCCCCTAAATATATATATGATATGTCTTGAGTGTTTTGCCCGTATATGTGTAAGTGCACCACATGCATTGCTGGTGCCCACAGAAGTCAGAAGAGGGTGTCGGATCTCTTGGAACTTTGGTTGTGTTAGCTGCCTTGTGAGGAACCTAACCTAGGTCTTCTGGAAAAGCAGCCAGTGCTGTCTAACTTTGAGTCTGGATTTCAATATTTACTTCTGCATTAGAAGAAAACTGGAAGAGACTTAGTATTGATGAAGATACAACAGTAAACAGAACAGTGAAAAATCCTTGTTCTCATTGTTCAGTTTTAGTGGAGGAAAATAGTGAAAACTGTCATTTTTTATAAACTTGGGATAAATTGTTATTTTTAAAAAAATTTTTATTATTTTGATTTTATGTGTATGAGTGCGTTGCCTGCATGTATGTGAGTGCACCCGTGTCATGCAGTGCTGTGGAGGTCAGAAGAGGGCTTCGGATTCCCCTGGAACTGGAATTAAGGACAGTTTGTAGCCACCATGTGTGTGCTGGGAATGGAACCCGGGTCCTCTGCAAGAGCAGTCAGTGCTCTTAACTGCTGGGCCATCTCTCCAGACCTGGGATAAATTATTTCTAATTTGGTGTTCTTAGAGCTCTAGTTAAAGGTCTATTATAAGGTAGGTGCATTTTATGAATCCTTCTTAATAGCATCTCTACTTCTCCCCTTTTGTCCTCTTGTTTTGTTTTCTTCCTTAGCACCAATTAACTCTTGAGACATCAGGAATTTCATTTTACCTGTTAGATGGCAGAGGACCCACATATCTCAATGGCTCAAATGTTCTTTATCATGACCTATGTTCTTCTCAGTGGGCTGCAGCTCTGGTACTAAGGCTAGTGGTCAGGAGTTTTTGGCCATTTGTGTTCTTTTGTGTTCCTGGCCCTCTTTTGCATGAGGGAGCTTTATTGATGAAATTGAAAGATGCATTCATGTTCTCTTCATCCCTTGTTCTGTGTTGTGTGAGTCTTAGGTGTAGAGGTTGCATCCTAGGTGTGCCACTTAGGCTTGGGCAATTCACAGAGATTCTCTGTGTGTGTGACCAGTGGTGTAAGTCTGTAATAATCTGTTAAAAAAGAAGCTACTTTGATGGGTGGTGACTGGGATACTTGTCTGCAAATTTAAGGATCCATATTTTGCACATAGTAAGAAATTACATTAGTCTAGGGATATGAGAGCCTTGGTTTTTTTTTTTTTTTCTAAAATCTCTGACCTTTCAAGCTATGTGTATTTGGCTAGGTTTACAGTTCCAGAACATGTGTTTCCTCCTAAAGAGTGGACTTTAAGTCTTTAGATACCTGTTGCTTACCCCCAAAGCTGAAAGTACCACTGCTGCACTAATGTTGTTTGCTGTGCTGGTCATTGATGGGTTTTTAGGTCTTGAAGCTAGGGTTGGACCACTGATTGATGTTCTCCCTTACCTGCTTGTGTAGTGCTCTACAAAGCTGTGAGATCTAGCCTTCAGGGGAAGTGGCTTCCAGGTCAGTTCCAGCTCCATTGCTCCAAATCCTGTGCTTCAAGTATGTCCCGTTTTCAGCAATAGGGTCTTACCATCAAGTTCTGGGATGCAATAAAGGACTGTGGTAATAGCATGTGTAATTTTGGGAGTCTTTTGGATGACCCTGGCCAACAACTCAAAGGAAGGTTTCTCCTGTGTGGCACTGTTTCTTGTCATGTAGTCTTCAGCTATACATATAGACTCATGTAGGGGAATTGTATGTGTAATTTTTCAGTAGGTTTTTGGACTAATATGATTCCTTCAGGTTTTTTTTATACTAGCTAGGCACTATTTATGTCTCCTCTTTTCCTCTGTGTCTTATCTTCCCTCCCTGCTCTTTCCATTTAAAGTGTCCCCATTTTTCCCCATTTCTCCCTTGATAATTTCTGTATGCTCTGGTCCCACCCCCTTTATTCCCATAGTTCTTTATACAGCCCTTCTTCTCCCCCTCCCCTTTAACTACCCCCTTTTTACACATTTCTCCCTTAGTAATGCCTGTCTCCTGCTATTCTTCTCCGTCAGGTTCCTTCTTTCCCTTTATCTCCCTGGTTCCTTCCATTTTCCTGATTCCTACAGTTACATTAGGATATGTGCTCACTTAAAAGGATTTGGTGCTAGGATTCACATGTGAGGGAGAACATATGTCTTTTGTTTTTCTGAGTCTGTTACTTCACAGTATAACAGTTTCTAGATCCATCCATTTACCTGCAAATTTATTATTTCATCCTTGTTTACTGCTGAGTAGAGCTCCATTGTGTAAATGTACCACATTTTCATTAATCACATGTCAGTTGAGGGGCACTTAGGTTGCTTCCATCTCTTAGCTATTGTGAAAAGCACAGCAACAACCATGGTTGTACAAGTATCATTGCAATAAAATAGCATGAGTCCTTTGGGTGTATGCCAAGGAGTCCTATAACTGGGTCATATGGTAGGTTCAGTTTTAGTTTTTTAAGAGTTCACATTGTTTTCTATAGGGGTTGCATGAGTTTGCAATCCCACCAGCAGTGAATGAGTGTTCCCCTTTCTTCACATCCTCACTAGCATTTGGTGTCACTTGTTCCCTTGATCTTAGCCAATCTAACTGGAATAAGATGAAATCTTAAGGTGGTTTTAATTGCATTTCCCATATCAAATTTAGTGGTCAAATGAGTTATAAAAACAGATAAAACTACTTTTGGTTTCCAGAATGTTGGGGATTGAAAATTGTGGCTAAGACAATGACACATAAAGGTGCCAAGAGCACACAGTAGAGGAAAGACAGCATCTTCAACAAGAGATGATGCTGGTAAAACTGGATCTCTACCGGTAGAAGAATGAAACTAGATCCTTATCTTTCACCTTGCACAAAACATCTTAAATGCCATAAATGTCTCTATTAGACACATTTATTTGTCCAGAGGCATTTTTAAACATTATTTGTTAACTTCTTCAATTTGATTATCTATATTGAGATAATTTCTAAAATCTCTCTTGATTCCAGAGTATGTGTTTATATGTATCTATATATATTTGTATTTATCAATTTTTATATTTGATACTCAGAAATTTCAAGATATTGAAGAAACTCATCTTATTCACATAAAGGAAATTATAGAATCCTTGTCAAATGCTATAAAGGAAATTCATTTGCAAATAGGCCAGGTAAATTCTTTTGTTTATATTATACTAGTTGATGAAATTTTTGTGTTCATTTATGGCTTACAAGTCTTTCATTACATCTGGAAATTGTAGGTATGATACTGAATTATTTCAGATGAAGAATATGTGTTTACATGTATTTTTTATTATTAGTCATCAATCATGATAATTTACATTGTTTTTAAGTAACTAAATACTATGATTACATATTTACAATATAACTATACTTATTAGCATTACTCTATAACTGTATAGTTAATATATGCTAAAATAGCTAGTTATTTTTAAAATCTGTTATTTTCTTTTTATTAATTTTCTTTTTTATGTGTATGAGTGTTATACATGCATGTATGTAAATGCACCCTGTGTGTTCAATGCCCATAGGGGACAGAAGAGGGCGATGGATCCCCTGTAACTGGTGTTACTGATGGTTGTGAGCTGCCATGTACGTTTTGGGAACCGAACCTGGGTCCTCTGCAAGAGCAACCAGTGCTGTTAATGGCTGAGTCATCTTGCCAGCCCCATAACTGTCTAATTTTCTAAAAATTAACTATGCAGTATTGAAATTTGGAAGTTGCCAACTTCTGAATATTTTTTCAAGTTTTATTATTTTAAAGTTAGAGCAGCAACTTCAGTACATTAGGGGACTTAAACCTGAAAGCATTTGAAACTTGTGTTTAATGATAATTTGGGCTGTATTAAAATACAGTAGATAAAGATAAAATATTTTCTTTAATATTAAAAATGCAAAACTGTAAGCATTGTCATTATAAGTTTTATTTATCCTAAGAATTCTATCTTTAAATTAAAAAAAAAAGAGTAGTGGGGTAAATTAAAAAAAAAGGGTAGTGGGGAAGGTAAGCAGCCATTGATCCCTACAGATCTGCTAACTCTGTGAGATCTAGCTCTGTTAGTGAGGTCTAGAACACTGTTAGTGAGGTCTAGAACACTGTTAGTGAGGTCAGCACTGTTAGTGAGGTCTAGAGCACTGTTAGTGAGGTCTAGAGCACTGTTAGTGAGGTCTAGCACTGTTAGTGAGGTCCAACTCTGTTAGTGAGGTCCAGCTTGAGGTCAGCACTGTTAGTGAGGTCTAGCACTGTTAGTGAGGTCAGCACTGTTAGTGAGGTCTAGCACTGTTAGTGAGGTCAGCACTGTTAGTGAGGTCTAGCACTGTTAGTGAGGTCAGCACTGTTAGTGAGGTCTAGCACTGTTAGTGAGGTCAGCACTGTTAGTGAGGTCTAGCACTGTTAGTGAGGTCAGCACTGTTAGTGAGGTCTAGCACTGTTAGTGAGGTCAGCACTGTTAGTGAGGTCTAGCACTGTTAGTGAGGTCAGCACTGTTAGTGAGATCAGCACTGTTAGTGAGGTCTAGCTCTGTTAGGTCAGCACTGTTAGTGAGGTCTAGAGCACTGTTAGTGAGGTCTAGCACTGTTAGTGAGGTCAGCACTGTTAGTGAGGTCTAGCACTGTTAGTGAGGTCAGCACTGTTAGTGAGGTCTAGCACTGTTAGTGAGGTCAGCACTGTTAGTGAGGTCTAGCACTGTTAGTGAGGTCAGCACTGTTAGTGAGGTCTAGCACTGTTAGTGAGGTCAGCACTGTTAGTGAGGTCTAGCACTGTTAGTGAGGTCAGCACTGTTAGTGAGGTCTAGCACTGTTAGTGAGGTCAGCACTGTTAGTGAGGTCTAGCACTGTTAGTGAGGTCAGCACTGTTAGTGAGGTCTAGAGCACTATTAGTGAGGTCTAGAGCACTATTAGTGAGGTCTAGAGCACTGTTAGTGAGGTCTAGCACTGTTAGTGAGGTCTAGCACTGTTAGTGAGGTCTAGCACTGTTAGTGTGATAAATGAAAGTTCTTTGGATCAGAAAAATTGGGATATTTTAAAAAAATGCTTTGTAGTAGTTTTATCTAAATTAAAGTAAGAATGTTAAAGGAAAAAAAAATCTATTTTGTTCTAATAGGTTCATGAAGAATTTATAAATAATATGGCTAACACCACAATTGAAAGTTTGATACAAAAATTTGCAGAGTCAAAAGGCACTGGGAAGGAACGGCCTGGTAAGATGATAAAAAGTAATGAAACATTTTCAAATTTCTTTTAACAAATTCCCTCCCTCCATCCCTTTCCCTCCGTCCTCCCTCCTTCTCTCCATCCCTCCCTCCTTTCCTTCCTGTGTCAGTATGTATCCCAGGCATTGAACCCATGATTTCCTGGCTTCAGTTTCTTGGCACTATCTAAATATTTCTGGATTTTTGTTTTGTTTTGTTTTGTTTTGAGACAAGGTTTCACTGTGCAGCCCCCAGCTGGCCTGGAACTTGCTGTATAGACATCCCAGGCTGGTCTCCATCTCATAATGATCTGCCTGCCTCTGCCTCCTAAGTGCTGGGCTTAAAGGTATGCCAGTAGGCCAGGCCATCATACTATGATTGAATTGTGTTGGTATTTCTCCCTCAGACCTTTCTGTTTTTTCTATGTTTCTGATTAACTTGCAGGTTTCTCATACTGGCACAGGAGAGATTTCTTCTCTAGTCCCTTTAAAATGTTATAGCACATTTGGGGCTGGAGAGATGGCTCAGCGGTTAAGAGCACTGACTGCTCTTGTAGAGGACTGGGTTCAAATCCCAGCACCACATGGTGGGTATGAACCGTCCTTAACTCCAGTTCCAGGGGAATCTGAAGCCCTCTTCTGACCTCTGAGGCATTGCACAATACAGGTGCACTCACATACATGTAGGCAATACACTCATACACATGAAATAAAAATAATAAATAAAAATATCTTTAAAAATGTTATAGACATTCATCTTTGACTATACAGTTATGAACTTATAATTGTACTCTACATAGATCTTTGAATTTTAAAAATTTATAAGTTTGAGTGTGTTTTGCCTGCATGTATATATGTGCACTCATGTATGTTCTACCTGTGGAGGCCAGAAGAGGGCGGCTGATCCCCTGGAATTGGAATTACAAACCATTGTTAGCCACCACGTGGGTGCTGAGAACCAAACCCAGGTCCTCTGCAAGAGCAGCCAGTGCTCTTAACCACCAAGCCACCTCTCCAGCCCAATAAATCTTTGAATTTTTATTACAGACAAGTTAGACATTGTACTTGGATTCAAAGCCTTTAGAGATTTTGGAGGTGACTTGTCTTTTCCTTTTCCTCCCACCCTCCCTCATGTTTTCCCTCCTTCCCTTCTTTCCTTCTTTCCTTTCTTCCTTCCTATTCTGGTACCTTCACTGTGGTCTGCTTGAGCTACTTGCTGTTTCTTATACATGCCTGATGTTCCTTGTTATCTTAGTTGTCTTTGCCTTTACTCTGAGAATGGTATATTCCACATCTTTCCTACCTTAAATCAATCCATTTGTCTGTCTGTCTATTTATTTATTTATTGGTCTTTTTTGAGACAGGTTCTCCCTGTAGCCCCAGCTGGCCTGGAACTCGCTATGTCAACTGAGCTGGCCTCATACTTACAGAGATCTGCCTACTTCTGCCTCCCAAGTGCTGGGATTAAAGGCATGCACCACCATGCCCAATTAAATCTTTCAATTTATGTGAATAATAAGCATCCTCCTAAAGAGCCAGGTTATATATTACTTCTTTTACCAAAGGATCCCAAAGTTTGTCTTCCTTATTTTGTGTGTGCACTTGTGAAAAATGTTTCATATTCATCTGTTTTTATTCCCCTACTTACAGTGTATTTTTAATTTAAAATTTTTTGCTTTATTTTATATGTATGTGTGTATTGTGTTCATGTATACAAGTGCACCTGTGTCGTGCAATGCCCATGGAGACATAAAAGGACCTTGGATCCTCTGGAACTGGAAGTATGGACAGTTGTTAGCCATGTGGGTGCTGGGATTTGAACCCAGGTCTTCTGCAAGAATAGTCAGTGCTCTTAACCGCTGAGCCATCTCTCCAGCCCCCTATAGTGTGATTTTGTTGAATGATGCAAGGACGAACATAGAACAGTAAGATTAGAAGGTTAAGGAGATTGGAGTAGGTGAATTTACTTTTAGAAAAGTCTGTATTATGTGAACACTAAATAATTATGGTTAATGTTTAGTGAGCACCAAACTCTGTACCATATACTGTTTCAGTCACTTTGTAGGCACACTTTGGTTTGCAACTTTTTGAAGTAGGTGCTGTAATTCTAGTTTTATAGTTGAGGAAAATACTGAGATGCTAAAGATATGCCTAAGCTAATATATGGCAAAACTGGGTTCCAATTCCAGGTCTTGGAGGCCAATCATAAAAAAATCAGAACAAACAGAATGAGGTTGGTGAGACACTTAAGTACAGAAGACTTAAACTACTTGTGAAAAAATTATAAATAAAGGCCAATTCAAAGGGGTAAACCAAAAATTGGGGCACAAATAGAATTTTGTGGTGTGTGTTCCTGTTTGCATATGTGGGAATATACCTGTGTGTGTGTGTGTGTGTGTGTGTGTGTGTGTGTGTGTCTAGAGTCCAGAACTCAACCTCTGGTGGTGTTCCTCATGAGCTGTCCTTTGTTTTGTTTTGTTTTAAATTATTTGGGACTGGAGAGATGACTCAGTGGTTAAGAGCATTGGCTGTTCTTGCAGAGGAGCCAGGTTCTATTCCCAGCACCAACATGACAGCTAAAAACAGCCTGTAACTCCAGTTCTAGGGGATCCAATGCCCTCTTTTGACTTCCATGGGCACTGCCCCACTTGGGTGCACTCACATACATGCAGGCAGTACACTCATACATGTAAAATAAAAATAATAAATAAAATATTTTTAAAATGATAAAATATTTTAAAATGATAAATAAAATACTTAAAAATCTATTCTGTTTATTATTTTTATTTTATGTGCATGAGTGTATTGCCTACATGTATTTAAATGCACCCGTGTCAGGCACTGCCTGTGGCGGACAGAAGAGGGCATTGGGTCCCCTGGAACCAGAGTTATGGACAGTTGTTAGTGGCTATATGGGTGCTGGGATTGGAACCCTGGCCCTCTGTAAGAGTATCCACTGCCTTTAAGATGAGCCATCTCTCCAGCCCCTCATGTTTGTTTTTTGAGCGAAAGTCTTTCACTGGGACCTGGGACTTCGTCAACAATACCAGACTGGCTCCTAGTGGGCCTCAGGGATCTGTTTCTACCTTCCTAGTGCATCACCAAAACAAGCTTTTTTTTTTGGTCTTTTTGAGACAGGGTCTCCCTGTAACCCCAGCTGTCCATGGAACTCACTGTGTAGACCAGGCTGGCCTTCAACTCACAGAGATCCACCTGCCTCTGCCTCCCAAGTGCTGGGATTAAAAGCGTGCACTGCCACGCCCAGCCAAAACAAGCTTTTTTTATGTGGGTATCCATCTCAGCTTCTTCATGTGCTTGTATCAAAAGCACTTTACTGAAGGGACTTTCTCCCTGCCCGCAAATACAATATTTTTGTATGTGTCTGTGTGCAGTGTGTGTACATGTGTGATGTGTGTTTGTGTGTGTGTCTGTGGGCCTGAGGCAGACATTGGCTGTATTCCTAATATCCACTTTATTCATTGAAGCAGTGTCTCTCAGTTGAACTCAGAGTTCGCTGATAGGCAAGTCTGGCTAGCCAGCTTACTTCGGGGATGCCCTGTCTCCACCTTCTGAGCATTGGAATTACAGGCAGGTGGCCACACCCACCCAGCATTTATGTGGGTGTTGGGATCCAAACTCCAGTCTTCCTACTTGCTACTTGCTCTGCAGAGCCCTTTCCCCACTGAGCGATCTCTGAAGCTCAAAAACAGAATTTTTATACAGGATAGTAGACAAGTTTATTGTATGAAGCAAAGATGTATTGGCAAGTTCTCTCTCTCTCTCTCTCTCTCTCTCTCTCTCTCTCGTGTGTATAAATGTATATATCTGTAGATACAGATATAAATCTATATCTACAGCTGTCTAAAAAATTCAGAGAAATGAATTGAAACCAGGAAACTTGAGCTGAAATTTAAACCTAAACTCATAAGCCATATTTTTCCCCTCTAAATCACAGATGATCAGAGTATACTTAAGCAAAAAGAAAAAAATCCAGAGAACCAACTTGAAGTAGCTCTCTGTTCTTCAAATATCAAATCAGAGAGTAATTAGAACATAAAAATGTTAAGCCAATTTTAATTTGGATTGCTGTACCACTCCCAACTTTAATTGGCATTTGGTGGCATTTTATTCCTTCTCTTGATGTAATTTTTTCCACTCTACTTTGGCTTCCTAGGCTTCTTTGTTGAGTCTTTGTATGTATGCCAGTGTCATTCTGAAGACTCTGTTCAATGTGCAGCCTTACTCATGGAAGATACTGTTACTAGGTTCACAGTTTCCTTCGGGGAAAACTTCAGGATCTGTCTCATCATAGTGCTCCAGGCAATCGCTGCCAATATTGAGGGTTAGTACTCATGTTGAAACCTGTCATCTCTGACTTAGTTCAACAGAGACTCTTTGTTTGCAGATATTGGCAAGCCAGTTTAAAGCAAGCTTAAGTAAAAAAAATTCCATGCCTTTGCTTTTTTAACCTGGAAGGATAGGAATGAATTCAAGGACCAGGTTTATGTCATCAGGACTTGTAGAAGTCCTAGTAGTACTGTCACCACCTCTACTACTACTTCTCCTTCCCTTTCCCCTTCCTTTTCTTCCTCCTCTTCTCTTCTCCTTCTTCTTCGCTGTGAAGGAAGGCATCAACAGCACCAAGTGTGTGTCATGTTAGTTGAGAATCCAAGTGGGAAAAAACCAACTTGTTCTTTCCTAGTGTTAGCATGGTAATTTTAGTGAAGGTGCTGCTTTTATGGCATGTCTCTTTTAGGTCTACATTGTAAAATCAGTGTGTACATAAAAGAGAAGACTATCAAGTAAAAATCTTTTTTCTTTTTCTTTTTCTTTTTTTTTGGCCTTTTTTGAGCTCCAGTAGCTCCTTGTATCTCCAGTTGGCCTGGAACTCGCTATGTATACCAGGCTGGACTCAAACTCACAGAGATCCTCCTGCCTCCTGAGTGCTGGGATTAAAGGCATGTGCCACCACACCAGGCTGTAAAAATCTTTAAGATTTAATTTTCAGAT